TAGGTAGGTAGGTAGGTAGGTAGTAGGTAGTACGGTAGGTACGGTACGGTACGGTAGGTACGGTAGGTAGGTAGGTAGGTAGGTAGGTAGGTAGTAGTAGTAGTAGTAGTAGTAGTAGTAGTAGAGAGAGAGAGAGAGAGAGAGAGAGAGAGAGAGAGAGAGAGCCCAATTGAGTTTTATGGGAGAGTTGGAAAGATGGCCCTTTCTCTAACGCTTAGTAGAAAAGAAAAATGGTTTCAGATTTTCCCAATCAAATTTCCCAATAACCCTCATATTTCTGCACAACTCTTTAAGGCTTTAGAGAGAGATTTGAGGGCTGAAAAGGGCGAGAAATGGTGGGGCATCATCATTTTTATTGGGCTGAAGAAGGTTTGGAGAGATGGAAGCAGCAGATGCCAGCTTCGAGAGGAATGGGTCTTTGGGTTCAATGGCGGAATGGGAATCGAAGCCATTTTTTTTGCTGAAAGCTCTCGTAGAAGAAGAAGAAGAAGAGCTTCAACTCGGACAATGGTATGAAAGATTTAGGATCTCCATTGAGGGAGAGAAACATGGGGCTGTTGGGCGGGAGAGAGAGAAACAAAAAAACGGTAATGAGTGGATGAGAGACGGAGAGAGACGCTTGAATCCCACAAAATTCATCTTGGGTACCAATATATTTGGAGGTTATTCAAATATAAAAAGAAATAACTTCGCTCTTTCAACAGGATATATTAACTTGTATACTTCTAATTACAATACATTCTATATTATCCTGAAATAACTTGCATAATTCTAATTACAATAGATTCTATATTATCCTGAAATAACTTGCATAATTCTAATTACAATAGATTCTATATTATCCTGAAATATTAGAGTGTTATCAAACATTTTATATATTTAATTAATAAAGTTTTTATAATACAATTTACATTTCATACGTAATGTTAAATTGAATTAGGCTTATTGTAGCCAAATAGACACATATCCCTTTCTCATAAATTATAATCCCAAATAACTCCCTGGTCCTATAAATATCCCATGCAACCCCAAGTTAAATAAAATAATCCCTCCTTACTTCTTTTTTTATTGTTCAAATTACAAAATTTAAACAAAAAGTGACATTTAAACCCCACTTTTTTTTTTATTGTCCAAATTATAGAATTTAATCTTTCTTATTTTTTTTAATTATTTCATCAAAAAAATTAAATTTGTGATGCCCCTTTTATCATACTTGTGAGGTTCATGAGATGTGAGAGAGATAAGTACTTAGGGAAGGTTGCTAGAACAAGATGGATGAAGAGGTCCATGGGTGAGAAAGAAAAAGAAAGAGAATAAGAGCTTTTTGAGGATTTCGATAATAGGGTAATTAAGAAAAAAAGAACAACCCCATGGCCGAACACTGACCTTTTCTATCTAAAAACTTTAGAGAGCACTTCTTTTTTTCTTTTTTTTTTGTTTGAGAAATGAAAATTTTATTAGGAGAAAGAAGCCATTACAACTTAGGGTTATAACATGAAACCAAAAACACCAACAAAGAATAGGACATCTATTAATAGATAACGAACAAGCCTTACACCTTGTTTCGTAAAAAAATCAGCCTCCTCATTTGCCTCCATATACACATGCATTAAGGAGACATCTAGACTCAATTTTCTACATATAAAATCATTGATACTGCAAACTCCAAAGAGCAAGTTACTTGGATTATTTGATGACATTCAAAGAATCACCTTCAACAAAAATCTTGGTACCCAACGCTTTGCTTCAACAACCATCAACCCATGTAAGATGGCATTAATCTCAACCCCGTAGTATACAATCGACGAGACCCTAAAAATAAAGCTAACAAGATACCTTCATGATTTTTATGACACCACCTACAGCTGATAGCCCCAAGTTTTTCAAGAAACTTCCATCAAAATTAAGGTTGATGACGTCCACAGGGTGGAGTGGCCCAAGCAACAACGTTTCTCCTACTATAACACTCACCTTAATGTTTCATTAAGATGATACTTCATGCATGTGTAATTACCCACAAACATGACATGCCTAAACAGGTGACACCAGATTCGACACTAGAAACATGTGGTGAGGGTAAATCTTTAAAAAAAATTCTCCCCAACTGGAATTTTGGAAAACTTTGGGCATTTTCCACCAACACACCATAGAAAAATCTTGATGTTTCTTGACCATCTAAGGAATGAGATGGTCATTAGCAGAAACGCCACTTTGGTTTTATCATTCTCCCTTTCCCTTCTTCCATCTTTCCTATCCGAATAAAAACTTTAAAGGTATTGATATTTCTGCCTTGCTCTGTACCTTCAGTCATATGGACTACTTGTCAAAAACCAAAAAAGCAATAGACATGAACACCAAGTTGAAAAAACAGAAAAGGCTAACTGTTGTCTTCCATGGAATGGCAAAAAGAATATAACAATGCAATTGCTTTTACAGTGAGTGTTGGATCTAAATAATCATAAAGTACAAATAATGTTTGTACAATGATACATAGGCTGAAGGCACCAATGCTAAAAAGATCAGATAACCGAACTCCCAAAGAGCCTGTAAAATCCATCAATTACTTCCCAAAGAGCCTGTAATATCCATCAATTACTTCATATGGTTAAGTTCAGTACCCTTTTCGAATTATAAATCCATAAAAACCTAACTCACTCAATAAACAAGCAGCACGCAAATGAAACATTGCACCAGTTATGACATCTAGTAATGCTCTATTTCACTAAATGCTAAAACCTATTAGTTTCCAAGGTTTGCATCTTTGAGACTTACTTGGTTACATAGACACCAGTAGCCTAGATTAGTGATCAACCGAGCTTTCTAGTGGTTTATAACTCTCCCTCTCTCTCTCTCTCT